CCCCACCCACCCCCGCCGAAATCAAAACCCAGCCGACGACTCCCACGCGAAGCGAAACGAAACGAAGCGAACTTCCGGAGCCCTAAAAAAATCTGTGGCCTGCTTGGTCAGGTGTTTTTTCGTGCCTTAGCTCCAAATCCTTTTATCCACAGCGCTTTGAGTTTTGTCGTCGGGTTGAAGAGCTTATCGATTTCTCCGCGCCTTCAGGTATGTGAACATGCCCTCTCTCCACACCATTCGGCACAGGCCGAGTCGAACGTCTCAATAATCGTCTTTACAGCAGCAGCAATCACAGCGAAGGAACAGTGGCGATTTCAACACATTTCTTTCCTGCTTTTTATTACTGACGTTCGGAAAAAAATGGCTTCACCTTTAATCGGTTTTGGCATTCATGAAAACTTGGCGATCTGATACGTCTGTGTCCTGTAAGGTCGGTTAGGTACGAGCGAGCGTGAATTCTGCAGCGTCAGCGTTTTGCTCATCATGGTGCGCGATATGGGCGGAGAGAGCAACAGTCGTCGAGCAACATTGGTCAAGATTATTTAGAACTGAAACTTTCCCGTCCTTATTCCATTTTCTCGATTTCCGAGGCGATAAATCCCACAAGACTGAAGATCCTGCGTCTGCATACAGCACTGCACAGGGCCAGGGGTGGGAGTGGGAGTGGGGAGTGGGGGTGGGGCATTTGGGAGTAGGGGCTAATGGGGCGGGGTGGTTGTCTTCAGCACAGTAACAGTATCGTTAACGTAACCACTGTCTTCATCATTATAGTCATCATGATCCATCAACAAGGGGAAAAAAATAACGTTTTCGGAGCAACAGTTGCTGCAACACAAACGGTAACAACGACAACAACAGCAGCAGCAGCAACAACATCACTAAAACGTCAGATAACACCAATGAGCTGCATGATCAACAACAACAACAACAACAACAACAACAACAACAACAACAAATGTTACGGACATTCTGAACCATAGCTAGTTGAGGAGGACTATGAGGATAAGAAGTCAAAAGGAGTTCAATCTAAACACATGCGTAAACCCTCAAACGCCTAGGTCTCGCTGTGCCCAACCATACCACGCTGACAATAATGAATAATGCCTTACGCATGATGCCAAAGTATTGTATTATTAATGTTCTCCTACCGCAGGAACCTAGCTATCTAGAAGCCCGATCAAATTTCTACCATTTGGCTGTCCTCAGATCAGTGGGCCGAGTAGGTTGGTGAATCACCACAGAATGTAACCTTTGATAAAATAAAACTATGACCGGGAACCCAACACGCGTCTGAATGACGTCATTTCTTTGAATTATTCCACAAAATCGAGCGCTCTTTCGTGGCTGGGTTACTCGCAGGCTGCAAGAATTTTAATGGGACAAACGCCAGTTGGTGGATCTTAGCTTTGGACAACAGTTAGGTCTTCTACTGCAGCGATAAATATCAACGTTCTTTTCTGTGTCAAATCTTACGTATCATTCCTACCACCGACTTTCAAATAGTATTTTTTAAAGGAAACAATGATTTAAAGAAAACCCCGCCCAGTGCATTTTCATAAAAATGTAAAAAGTCGAGAAAAATATCTCTCTAGAATTGCCATCATTGTCCTAGCTCAGTGCTCTTGGCAACTAGGGTGGTATCGCCCACAAGTGGGTGATTTGGTAGTTTTGGTGGGCGGTGGGGACCACCCAGATATTGACAGCCTGCATTCAATGCCCCACTAGGAATTACATGTAGGTGGGCGCTACGAAAATCTTAGCCTCTTAAAAGGGGGCAAAAGTGGGCGCTGGCGGTAAAAAAACTGACAAGCTCTGATCTAAAAATAGACAAGGTCTGAAATTTTGCAAAGTTCTCTCTGAGTCCTCCTCTTGTCGAATCTTTTTTCTTGTGAGACCCGGCCAGGGAAAGAGGAGAAGGGAGAGATAAAGGGAGGGTAATAGGAATAGCGATGAGAGCACACGCGACACAACGTGCAAACAAACGCACATGGGCAATAAAAGCAACGAGGACACGAACAAGAACAATCATGATAATAACGATACTGATATCCATGATAATAGTAATGATAATAAGCAGTTGAAAGAAGACGGGAAAGGGGAGGGGGAGGGG